CAAATTAATAATAAAAAGATAAGAATGTGAGTTATGAGTAGACAATTTACAGAACTGGAAAAACAAGTGGCCAATAAATACATGAAAATATCTATAGTTTCATTTTGAGAAATGAAAATTAGGAAAACAATGAGATGCCATTTCAGACTCATTGGAATGGCAAAAGGAGGGGGGCATCAAGTTTTAAAAAGTATATGAGAAAGGGGCGCCTAGGTGGCTGAATTGGTTAAGCGTCTGACTCTTGATTTTGGCTCAGGTCATAATCTCACAGTTCCTGAGTTTAAGCCCTACATTGGGCTCTGCACTGACAGTGCCAGGCCTGCTTGGGATTCTTTCTGTCTCTGTCTCTCCCTCTCTGCATGTGATCTCTCTTCAAAATAAATAAAGTAATTAAAAAAAGGATATGAGAAAGAAAAAGATCTTACATGGTAGTGGGAATAACATCAGTACAGGCATTTTAGGAAATAATTTGATAGTATCTGGCAAAACTGAAAAACCTTATACCTTGCTTCTAGGAATTTTCCTAGAGACATTTTCACATACAAGGAGATGCATGGAAGAATATTCTTGCCACATTGGTTATAGTAAAATAAATTGGGAACTTAAGTCTGCTTCAATAGGGCTATGATTGGAATATTCTAAAGCATTTAAAACTAATGAACTAGGTCACATACAAAAACAGTGTTGATGAAAAAAGCAAAAAGATGCATATAGTATGATCATTTACGTAAAAATGTAAAAACATACCACCAAATCAAAAAACATGAGTGGAAAGAATACGCCTCAACTTCTGGGATGCAGGAAGGAGAATGGAATGGGGAGGTGGACCTAAACTTTGTAGGTGTAATGTTTTATTTCTTTAAAAAAAAAAATCTGACACAAGTTTGACATACTATTAACATTTTCACATCTGGGTGTTAAGAACATCAGTCTCATAGTTTTCTATATTTTCTGTTCGAAGTCTTCATAATTGAAAACTATAAATCAAAAGAAATAGAAAAAACTTAAGAAAAAAGAAGTAGGACTCACTAGATTGTAAATTCCACAAGGGCAGAGACCTTTGTTTGGTTTTGCTGATCTGTCCCAAGCACCAAGAACAATAGCTAGCACACAGTGAGCATTCCCCCATAGATAGTTTTTAAAGATTTACAGTGCTCACTATTTAGAAATTGGGACCCAAGAGCATACAAGGATGAAACCAGTATTTAATTTCTTTGTTTCTAGTACCCAGCACAGTTTAGTGATCGGAGTGAACTGGTCTTGTTTACGTGGCCATCTGTCATCGAGTTTGTATGACTTGACAGATGATGCATCTTCTGCGGGGTTGATGAAAAATCCAACTTGGCTTGACCTAGTTTTTTTTAATGTTTCTAGGAGCTTGAAATTGTCATTGGAGATGAACACATTTCTTTCACAACATCAAAAATTGGTTCTCTTATCGATGTCAATCAATCCAAGTAAGTGTGCATGATCCTTATATCCAGATGTGTCTGTTTTAAAGCAGATTGATAAGAAGCCTTAACCAAATTGGGACCATCATGGTAAGATCTTGTACAAATGCAATACAGAAGGGGTCAGCTTTGTTCTCATAGAGACTCCAAATTATTTTCACGGGCTTACTCCTGTTGCTTTTGATGTTTTATTCAGTCATTGATACATACAGCTTCTCAGTGACACGAATGGAGTAATGTCATAGGAGCAGCCAAAGTAGGTAGGAATCTGGCCAGAACAGAAAATGAAATATACCAAAAAGGAGCTTGAGATAAACTGTACAGTCAGTGGATCGATCCGAACACCTTCCTCAGTGTTGGCCATTCAGACTAGCACATCTTACAGTCTATGGTGAAACTTGCAACTGTTTAGAATACAAATTTAAAAATCATGTTGTCAGTAGGGCAAATTATAGAGTTAAGACATGAGTTTGTATGCTACAAAGAGCCCTTAGAATTTGGCAACCTCTGTGGCTCCTGTGTTTTGAGGATTTAGAATTATATATGCCTCACTTTTAGTACATGTCACGCATAACTGTCTTCCCTTGGACAGTCCTCTTGTTCTTAGCTAGTTGTTTCATAGTAATCTTCAGCTTTTTGGTCCTGCTTAGTACTACTACTTTTTAAAAAAGTTTTCCTAATTCTGAAAGTAATACATGCTCACTGTAGAAAATACAGAAAAATAAGGGGGAAATCCACCCATAAACTTACCAATTAAACAACCATTATATCTCGAAGTATTTCTTGTCTGTTTTCTGTGCATTAAAAACTATATTTTAAAAAGTACAAAAAATATACTTGAGATCAACAATATTTTAATCATGATTTTTTTCATTTAATATAAATATTTCCCTATGAAAAACATTAACATTTTAAATGACCTCATAATAGTCTATTTTAATATATAACACATAGCCTTTTCCTTCAATAACACTTGGTTATTTTTAAAGTTTTAATTTTGTATATATCTTTATGAAGAATGTCTTGGTACATAAATAATATGGGTTTTTTAATGCATGGGGTGTTTTGGCCAGTTTTTTCAGCTTTTTTAACATATTTTTCCTCTTGCATTATAGGGATCCAGAAGGCCTACGAGTATTTTATTATCTTGTCCAGGACCTAAAGTGTTTGGTCTTCAGTCTTATTGGATTACACTTCAAGATTAAGCCAATCTAGATTGAATATTGGTGTGGACACATGGGGGGTTGGGAGTACCTGTTTTTAATTACCATTATCAGGAAATTTTTGTGTATATCAGGGCAATATTTTTTTTATAAACTATAAACGTCTTTAATAAATACATTAACAAAATGCAATTTTTTATTATTTCATAAAGACCTGAGCATGTGAACTTTTCTGTTATTTTTTTAAAATACTAACATCGTATGTGAAGTGTGGCCAAAAATCTAATCAACTCTAGATACAACTAACAATTTATAGGAATAAGAGAATAGAGAAAAAAGTTATCAAATACAATAGAAATCCAATCACCAATATCCAGAGGAAATTCCAGGGCAGAGGATCTGGTTTCTTCAATAAACAAATCGCAAACATAAAATAGAGATGGGGTGAGAACCAGATTTAAGGAGATTAAAGGTGATTTAAGAGACACATAATTTGGGGCACCTGGGTGGCTCAGTTGGTTAAGCATCCAACTTCAGCTCAGGTCATGATCTCACGGCTTGTGAGTTCAAGCTCTGCGATGGGCTGTGCGCTGACAGCTCAGAGCCTGGAGCCTGTTGCAGATTCGGTCTCCCTCTCTCTCTGCCCCTCCCCCGCTCACGCTCTTTCAAAAATAAACACACATTAGAAAAAAACCACATAATTAGTACACTATTTGACCCTATTTGGGTCATGATTCAAAAAACAAAATTGACATCATTGAGGAAATTTGAACACTGGATATTTTATATTAATGAAGTATTGCTAAATTTTTTAGGTGTGAAGTGGTATTTTTTTCCTCCAGATTTATTGAGATATAATTGAGGTTGGGGTTTTTTAAATCATCTTTTATAGATACATCTGCAGGTATTTCAGTATGGAGGAAAACATTTTGGTTTAATACATTACAAGGGATAAAATGCCTGGTCTCAGAAAAGTTTTCCAATAATCCATTTTAAAATCAGAAATACCGGGGCGCCCGGGGGGCTCAGTCGGTTAAGCGGCCTACTTTGGCTCAGGTCATGATCTCACGGTCCGTGAGTTAGAGCCCCGCGTCGGGCTCTGTGCTGACCGCTCAGAGCCTGGAGCCTGTTTCAGATTCTGTGTCTCCCTCTGTCTCTGACCCTCCCCCGTTCAGGCTCTGTCTCTCTCTGTCTCAAAAATAAATAAACGTTAAAAAAAATTAAAAATAAATAAATAAAATCAGAAATACCAACACCCATTAACAACTGATACCTAACTGATACGGATACTGTGGGAATTTGTTCAGCAGGTGTATTTGTAGGAACGTTTTCTTGATGTTAAATCGCACTGCTTCCTTAGCCAAGGAAGCTTCCTTGCTGGTTGAACAGATTGTGGGCGCTGAAAGGAGCTGGGCTTGACAAATCTCATTTGAGGGGAAGTGATTAGGCATAAGCTCACGTCCCTTAAGACAGGCCAGCTTGGGACAGGTCCCAAGTCTTCTGACTCCTAGGCCAGTGTCTCCCCCTGAACCCTCCTCCAACACACACAGTGCCTCCTTCAAAGATTACGGGCCAGCAACTTAGGTGCAGATCTGGGACCAGAGATATCAGGGCTCCTAACTCCAGTGTATATCCCCACTATAGAAGGGTTCCCCAGGGCAATGAATCAAGTTGGTGGTAAAGTAGCCAAGCACAGTCACTCCAAATTTTAAATGGCCATGAGAACCCCAAAGGCTCTAAGTCTCAAATGGGCTGTTCCTTGGGACACTCACAGCTTTTGTATGGTCTCAGATGTGCCCTGGGTAAGAGGACAGTTAAGGCAAGGTTCAGTAAATGTACACGGAGCCCAGAGAAGAGCCCTTGAAAGGGAGTGGCCCCTCTTGGAGACTGCAGTGAGAGACGTGTACACGGGGCAACCTTCTGAAGGCAGGTCTCCGGGGAAAAGAGGAAAGAGCAGTTTAGAGATGAAAGGCTCCATCCCCCAAAATCTGCGAGGCTGGCTGTGGGCAGGGGGAACTGACGTGATCTAAAAAGCCTCAAAAGGCAAGCAGGAACCAAGTGGTTGTTGGGTGAGAGAAGACCAGACTAGTTAGGAGCTGGGAAACAACTGAGGAGCAGGAAAAAGCCCTGGCCGAAATTTCGGGTAGGGACTATCTTGTTTGCTACGGTATCCCTCAAACTAGCATAGTGCTGGCACGAGATTGGCGTTCAGCAAATTGCTGACTGCTGGAGGAAGGATTCGCGGGTCTGAGTTCAGGCTAATTGCGGACTCACGACACCTACACAGGTCCACCTAATCGAAGAAAAAGCCCGGCATGCCCCGGAAGCCGCGGCGCGTGAAGACCCCGCCCTCCGCTCCGCCCCACGCACGCCGGAGGTCTGCACCCGGGTGCGCTGGCGGCGCCCACCGTTTACGACGGGCCGGAAAGTAGCGGCCGCAGCCAGTGCCGGGCCTGGTCGGGCCGAGCCGGGCCAGTATGGGGGTAAGGCGAGGGCGGGCTGCCGCCGGGACAGGGACGGGAAGGTGGCGGGAGCTTGTGCCAGGAGGGAATGAGAGAAGTGGGCCCGCGCTGAGAAGGAGCGGGGAGGCTCGTACCGGGAGGGGAGGGACTGGGGCTAGATAGGGCGGCGCAGGCGCCGTTGTTGCAATTGCGGTGGCCCTCCCTCACAGAAAATTGCGCTGCAGCTCAAAGCCACGCTGGAGAATGTCACCAACCTCCGGCCCTTGGGCGAGGACTTCCGGTGGTACCTGAAGGTACAGCTTGATGGGAGGGGCCTTGGCGGGAGAAGGGAGGAGCATCGTGGAGGCTGTAGGCGCGGTGAGGTTCCGGGCCCCGGAGCGACTCCGGAAGGGGGCGGGGCGCCACAGGCCTATCCCCAGGATAGTTTTCCAGTCCCGAAGTGCCGGTCCAGCGGGAGCTTTGTGTCCAGCAAGATCAGAAATATGTAGCCATTAAATGTTCTTTTCCTGGATAATTTTGTTCGCTTTTTAAAATGTATTGGTTAATTCTTAATTGGTAGTCTTTTGGAGTTCCTTTTGTAATTTTCTCTCCGTGAAATATTTCATGTTGTGTAAACACCGAAAGACTACCTGAAGAGGGCTTGGGATTATTTAGTAAGGAGGAGAATTTCGCTGTTTTATTCGTTGATTAGGCTTTATCGTGAAAGCGTTTTAATTTTGTGCGTGGCTTCCCCCTTCCTTCTCTACCCTATACTGGTGAATCTGGTACTCTGGTGACTGGGTCTACAGAGGCCCCCCTCTTACCTGAGCAGTTTGAGGTCCTTCACTCTTCCAGATCTCAGAACTTCTGCTTTATTTCCCTCGTTGTCTAAATCCCAGCATCCTTCAGAACCTGGCAAAAGCTCTGTCTCTTTCAGGAAGCTTTGTTGGCACCTTTATTACCAAATACTTTGAAGCCCGAGTACCAGAGCTTATTTGAGGAATTGATGCCCTCTGCTTCAAAAAGCACACAGTCTAGTTAAGGAGACAGAGAAATAGAGTAACGACAGAGTGATGAGTACTTTTACTAGGAACCTACAAGGCCTGTGAGAACACAGGGAAAGCTCCAGACCTAACGAGGGGATGGGGGTGAGGGCTGTTGAAGCCATTTCTGTACTATATATTAGCCTTGAATTTCCAGCTAGACTGGGTGCTTCTAGGAGGGGTGCATGCCAGCACGAAAAACACTTGACCTGTTCTTTGCCCGGAGAGAAATTCAGTTACATCCTTGGTGGGGCCGGTTGTAAGGATGAGGTGAGACTGTGGACAAGAGGGTAGGTTGAACATGTCCATCTCTCACTGTTCTTACCCTTCCTTTAGTGTCTGCCCAGCTGAACCAGCTATTTTACTGATCTTCTTTTTCCTCCCCCAAGATGAAATGTGGCAACTGTGGTGAGATTTCAGAGAAGTGGCAATATATTCGGCTGATGGTAACTACTCCCCCTACCACCTACCCAAACACAAACACACATATGCCTCTGGGCAGGGATTTAGGGAGAGAACCTGTGGCCCTAATCGCACAGGTCTTTGCACTCTACTTTCTGTAGTTTGGGAAGGCAGGCACTAGTGTGATCAACACTGGGAAGACCAGGCTTCTTTGGGATGTGAGGCAGAGCTCAAAACCGAAAAGAGTCTTTTCCTCAGTCTCAAAAAGCCTCCCCAGGATTCTTGTTGTAGCAGGTGGCTCTCCCTCTCTCGATCTTGGTCTCTTTAGCCAATAAGTGGTAGGACTGGGTCTCTTTGAGACCTTTACAACTAATTGATGTTTGACTAGAGGTTCTTTTTACCCTTGCCAGGACAGTGTGGCACTGAAGGGAGGTCGTGGCAGCGCCTCCATGGTCCAGAAGTGCAAGCTGTGTGCAAGGGAAAACTCCATCGGTAGGTCAGGTTGTGAATCCTGAGCTTCCCCAACCAGGCCCATATCTTCCTGGTACCAGACCAAAGGCAAGCTCATGTTACTGTGGGTGGACCCAGGCCTGAGGTGCCCAAGCAATTGCAGCAGACTCTTTTTCCCAGAGCCACATCTGGGCACCTGGACAGGGCCAGGGTATGGACTCGTCAACTTTGTCTTCTCTTATGTTTCAGAGATTTTGAGCAGCACCATCAAATCTTACAATGTAAGTTTCCTGCTGTGGTGGCAAGTGTGGTGGGATTAAATCTAAGCTGGAAGCTAAGAGGCCTGGGTTCTAGAGTTCTGTCTGTACCAGAGTGACTTGCCATGGGACATTCATTCATATACTTGTTCATTCATTCAGTCTGTCATGGTATTAGTCGTCTATTCACAATATACTGGCTGAGTGCTTGGTAGGAAAGAGATTCATGAACAGGCTATTAGAGTGTTTTCTTTATAAGCACTGGGCTGTGGATCTCAGTGTACATCTGACGCAACCTGGCCACTCAGTTTCCATCATTGAGAGTACTTTGTGTACTCTGGGGGACTAGTGAGCCTTCTCTGAAACCATGGGTGGGACAGTCCTTTGGTGCATCCCATCCTTGATATTGACGTTATAACTAGTTATGCATTACTGTGTTAACAAAGTAGTCTAAAGGGGAGGGAGGGAGTGTGTGCTTTGTGTCTCTGTTTAAAAGGTAGTTACTTGTATTCATCTATCCCTTATTTAGTATTTAAAAAAAATTTTTTTTAATGTTTATTTTTGAGAGAGACCATGCGTGGGAGAGGGGTAGAGAGAGGGAGGAAGACACATAATCTGAAGCAGGCTCCAAGACTCCCAAGCTGTCAGCACAGAGCCCAAGGTGGGGCTCAAACTCATGAACCATGATATCATGACCTGAGCCAAAGTCAGATGCTTGACAGGCTGAGCTACCCAGGTGCCCCTCCCTTGTTTAATATTTTTGAAACATGTCTGATTTTTGCCAAATTCTCAGCTTTTTCCTGAAGTTTAAGGGAGAAGTCATGAGGATTTGCTTCCAAGTAATTGATAATATAGTGGAAGAGACAGATTAACAAACAAAAACAAACCAGAGCCAACAGAGTGTCTCATCAGTGCTAGGCACATGGTTAATGTATAGATTTTATAGTGAATGACACAATGTGATTGAATGTGTGGGTGTGGTGCCTGGCATCTCTGAGCCCGTGGGTGAGGTAGGCATGAGTTTCCTCACTAACCCACCCCTCTCAGGGTGCCACCTTCATGTGAAAATTCCATTTCAAAGGCCTTTTTTTTTTTATATAGTTTATTTATTTTGAAAGAGAGAACATGAACAGGGGAGGGGCAGAGAGAGGGAGAAGGAGAGAGAATCCCAAGCAGGCTCTGCACGGTCAGTGCAGAGCCCAATGAGGGGCTTGAACTCACAAACTGAGATCATGACCTGAGCTGAAATCAAAAGTCAGACACTTAACTGTGTCACCCGGGCACCCCTCCAAGCCTCCTGTCTCACAGCATGGCAGATGGTTAGCAAAAGGCTGCAGTTAAGTGTACTGGGCCATTTGGAAGATCTGGAGACTTTATAGCTTAACATTCTTGTTCATATTTTTTGAGAATTTTATCATTTATTGAGCATAGTCAGGGACTATAGCTGGGCACGTTACACACAGTTCAGGTTCTCACAACAAACCTGCAGTGGTTTCTTCAGCCCAGTCTGACCATCTTAGATGGGAAGAGAGGCAGAAGGCAGAGCTCTGTCTGAGCTCATATCCAGGCAGGCTGACTCTAGAACCCACAGTGTTTCTTCTACAGCATCTGTGTACAAGAAGGTCTCATGGGGAGCAGGTGACCAGTGCAGACTTCTTCCGGAAGGGAATGGGTTGCTCCTGAGTCCCATTCTGGGCTCACAAGGGCAGTTGGGCCCACTTGGCAGGAAGAGCAGGGGCAGTGGGATCATCCTAAGGGCCCAGTTGGGTCTGCCCCCTCAACACACTTCCTTTCTAGGCTGAAGACAATGAGAAGTTCAAGACAATTGTAGAGTTTGAGTGTCGGGGCCTTGAACCAGTTGATTTCCAGCCTCAGGTGCGTGTATCTTCCCAGGGAACCTGTATCTTTGGGGAGGGCATATAGAAAGCGACAACAGAACTCTGCTTCATGCAGAGACCATGGACTAGGACTTCCTTCTCAGAATAATAATTGTTATTTATTAAGTGCCTACCATATGATGGGCAAGTTCTGGTCACTTTTACGTGTTACTTTGTTTAATCCTCACAGTGACCTTGTGAAGTTATTCACCCTATCTTTCAGACAAGGAAAGAATTTCAGATTTTGCAACTTGCCCAGGGTGACAGAGTTCATAAACACTGGTACTATTATTTGAACCCAGGTCTGTCAGACTCCAGAGCCAGTGCTTATCCCACTTTAGTTGTGCAGCATTTTGACCTCACAACAAATCTGTGAGGCAGGAAGATGAGACAGTCTTGTCATCCCCATTTCATAAACAATATGACTCAGGTCCAGATAGGGGAGTGACGTGCCTAGGATCTCAGAAAACTGGGTAATGGAAAGGTTTACCCCACACCTCCTGTCTCTGGTCCAAGGCTCTAGTTTGGAGGAACTACTATACTCCTGGGGCAGCTGCCAGGCCCTGGAAGTGCAGTAGTTATTCTAGAGCAGGTGCCCCCACTGCATCTCTGTCCTCACATGCCAGACTGGTGCCTCCTTTCCCCAGACTAACAGCTGCCGTCCTGTCACCTACAGGCTGGGTTTGCTGCCGAGGGCGTGGAATCGGGGACGGTCTTCAGTGATATTAATCTTCAGGAGAAGGTACAGGACTTGGGGGGTCTTGCAGGGTGCTGGAGGGTACCTGGTGGGAATTACCCTTCTAGTGGACAAAGATCATCAATACAAAGCTGACTCCACGTTTTTTTTGCTGATGATTTTGGTGTTTAAAATGGCCCCAAGTGTAGTACTAAAGTGCTGTCTAGTGTTCCACAAGCAAGAAGTCTGGGGTGAAAATGCATGGAGAAAATGCATGTTAGATCAGCTTTGTTTAGGCAGGAGTAATAGTGCTGTCAGCTAGGAGTTCAATATTAATGAATCAACTATATATATTAAATAAGGTGTTTTTTGTTGTTTTTTTTGTTTGTTTTTTTTTTAACAAAAACTTACCCAAGACAAGGTTATATATTGATTGAAGAAAATGTGATCAGATGCTTCTGAGAACCTAACCTTATATTTTCCCTGGGAATAGTGGTTCACTGTTTGCTAATTCAGTGTTTGTAGTGATTATGTAGATTGTAACTACCATGAATAACAAGAATCAACTGTATTACTGGCCACATTACTGTCTTACATAGGCCTTGTGGTCAGGCTTCAAAAGAACAGAAACTTCAGTTTGCATAGCACCTAATAACAACAGTAACTGAAATTTACTGAGCTCTTATATGCGCCCAATACTATGCTGAATACTTTTACATGTGTTACCTCATTTGATTCTTTCAAGATGGAGGTCTGCTACTGTCTGCCCCCCCCCCCCCCCTTTTTAATAGAACTGAGACTCAGAGAAGTTAAGTGACTTGCCCAAAACGGAGTCTGGCTCTGTTCTGGGTCATACATGTTTGAAGTCCCAGTTCGTGACCACTGTGCACACTGTCCCATCTCGTGAGGCTAATAACGGCCATTTTCCCCCACAGGACTGGACTGACTATGACGAAAAAGCTCAGGAATCTGTGGGAATCTATGAGGTCACCCACCAGTTTGTGAAGTGCTGAACCCTCTTCCTGCACACTTGCCTCAAAGAACTGAGAAGGGACAATGTGCCCCAAGCAGCAGAGCCCACTGAGGCTAATCCCCTCATCCCCTGTCTGCTGGAAGCTGTCTGAGCCCTCACAGCCTGCATGCTGGGCTCTGCCACAGCTTCCCAAGCATCACCAATAAAGCCGCTGTTTGTGCTACACTGGTGCATGAAGACAGAGTCAGGTAACAGCCACTCCCTCCACAAATGACAATTCATGTTGGGAGTCTCTGATTGTTTCCTGGCACATTCCCACAGTACAGAATCCATTCTGTACTTCTCAGGGCTTTCCAGCTCTTGGGGAGGGGGCAGGTCAACCCGGAGGACCTACGTCCTGAACCAAAACAGTGCACTGACCACCTTGCTCTCAGGTAAACCCAGGCATCTCTAGCTGGTGTCACTTCATGTTCCAGGGCTGGTAGGGACTTTGGAGTCAACAGTCCAGTCCTGGCATGAATCTGCTCTGTAAAATTCCTGCCAGACAGTCATCAGGTCTGTGCCCACTTGCTGTGATGGGGCAATCCTCTCCCATCAGGGGAGTCAGTATGAAAGTTCTTCTTTCTGCTAAGTCAGCCTCTGTGCTCCCTACAGCTCCTGCTGGTCCTGGGTTGTCACTGTGTGGTCATGCACCCCTGTGGAGGTCTTAAGATCCCCCTGCAGAGTAGAAAGAGGAGTTCAGTGCACAGTAAGGTCAGGAGGACGTGCTCGTGCCTTCACACTGGTAAATCCACCATCTGGAAAACCTGCTGTGAGACCTTATTGCTCTAGTGTTCTGCTGGAACCAGGAATTCTTTGCAATAAAAATTACTGCAATTTCTGAGAGGCCCATAGGGGAAGAGCCTGCTCACTTCCAGACCGGTTGTGGGGGGCACTACCTCAGATTTCAGGCAAAGCTGGCTGTATCCAAGGGTGGTGAAGAGATTCCTACCTTGTCCATTCTCTAGTCTGGCACGTACATCATGTTTCCTCCAGGTTCTGTGTTCCTGGCCCCTGGACCTCTTTTTTTGTACCTGATAAAGCAGGGCTTCTTTGGCCCTCCCTCAGCAGGTCTATGAAGTGTGTCACCCACAGGGTCCAAGTCCACTGCCTGGCATGAAAGCAAATAAGTGGAAGAAGCCCGAGTAAGCAGCCTTTCTAGGTTTTGGCCTCTGTAATATCCAGTGTGTGTTTGCTCATAAAAACAAACACTAAAAGGATCTCAAGGTTTTCTTTATATTTTAGATTATTTTCTCATTTCTCAGGGAGGTAGAAGAAACCAAATGATCACTAACAGATTAAAGGAAAAATAGATTATGACAACAGATGCAGAAAAAATATTCAGTAAAATTTAACACCGATTCAACAGAAACAATAAACCATAGAAACTCTTAGCAGACCACAAGTAGAAAGGAACTACCCTCATCTCACAAAGGAGATCTACAGAAAACCTAGAGCAAAGGAAATGTGTGAAGTATTCCATGCAAGGTCATGGTAAGATGAGAATCCCCTTGATCACTGCTACTCTTCCTTGTGCTTGAGGTCCCACAGCAAAAAGAAAATAAGGGTAAGTCTCGAAAAGGAAGAAACAACTCATTTTCACAGGTTGGATTTTCTAAGTGGAAAATCACAAAAGCATGAACAGGTACTGGAATTATGATCAATACCCAAAAACCAAATGCATTTCAGTACGATGGCAATATGCAAAATCTAATTCAAGAAAAAAGTGCCATTTATGATAGTAGCAACAAAAAATACCTCCAAAAGTAAGTAGGAACTAAATCTATCAAAAATGTTCATGACCTTATTGGACGAAATTATTAAACTTTGCTGAAAGGTGCTAAAGCCTAAATAGAGACCTATGCTATTGTTGATTGATAGGAAAACTTGAAATTATAAAGATCCTTCTCAACAAATATATCTATAAACTTCTTGTGGAAATCTCAACTTTCTTTTAAACAGAATGTAAATTCTGAAATCCATGATACGACACAGGTGGGAGACTCCCTCTACCAGCTACCACGATGTAGTTACAAAGCAATGGCAGTTAAGCCACCATGATATTAGAGAAAATTATTAAACTTTGCTGAAAGGTGTTAAAGCCTAAATGCAGACCTATACTATTATTGATGGATAGGAAAACTTGAAATTATAAAGATCCTTCTCAACAAATGTATCTATAAAGTTCTTGTTGTAATCTCAACTTTTTTAACAGAATGTAAATTCTGAAATCCATGATATGACGCAGGTGGGATACTCCCTCTACCAGATACCATGATGTAGTTATAAAGCAATGGCAGTTAGCCTCCGTGATATAGTATTTGTATATTGTGATATACAAATAGACCAGTGGAACAGTAGACAGACCCCTGCATGTATGAAAACTGCATGGTTTAAGACAGGTGGTATTGCCAGTTTGGAAATTATTAACTTGCCAATAAGTGGTGCTGGGGCAATTGTTTACATTTGCCCATTAAATGAAACTGGGACGTTATTTCACTGGCATATAAGTCTATTCCAAGGTTAGTTCTCTTGGGTGCTTTGATACAGCATTATGCTGGGTAGAAGAAGAATCCTGGGCTCAGTGTCTTCCTTACTGTAAACCCTGGGGAAGTACATTTCCTCTCAGGACCCCATTTTCTCCATCTAAAAGAAAAGGGCACTTTGACCTCTGACATTCTGTTGCTCAATAAGATTAGTCAAAATGGTGGCAGCATGTCTGAGGCCTGCCCCTCATCACCACCAGGAAAGTTAGTTCCTGGCCTCACACTCCAGGACTGTGGTCTCCTGTCCAGGTAGTGGAAGTTAAAGCAGCCAGATGTGGGGACAAGTGGAAGATGAGACCATTTGAGGCCTAAGTTCCCTACCATCTTAATTTGGACATTCTGCGAAGGTCCTTAGTATGCTCTTACATGATCCCTGAACAGCTGTTTAAAAGGTACCATCTTTATCCAGTAGCATTTTTTTAAACTAGGCATGTGTGTGTAAACATTTGACTTTTTGTGAATAGCAATGAGATGAAGGTTGGGTAACATTAGGCTGCATCCTCGTGTACAACCGTCATTTCTGTTGTTTCCCAGAAAGGGCAAAGTCACCCAGAATCTCTGCCTGGCTAGGCAGCCTGAGTGATCATCTCACAGTGCTGTCCCCATTCCTGTGTGAGCCAAGTTCCCTTGGACTGAGCCCTTTCCCTCATTAGCCATTAGAGCTCCAGAGAAGGCTGCATACCTGGCTGGCCTCCAGAAAGCTCAGGACCCACAACACTGGACATCTTCACTCTCCTGACACTTAACCATGCATCTGAATTTTCATTCGGCCATCTTCCCTGAGGGTTTCTGCTGCAGCAAGCTCTAGAGGGAGAAAGATGAATCAGACCCATGCTGTCTTGTTCGAGAGCCAAGTAACTAAGCCACTAATTAAAATAGTCACTGCCAAACATACATACGCATTGGATCACTAGGATTACTTGAAAAGGGTAAATTTCCTGGCCCCACGTCATTCCCACTGAATTAGAATCTCTGGGCTAAAACCTGAGATGAATCTGATGTTTCTAGACCACCAGAATCACTAGAAGAGATTTCACAGCAGGATGTGCTCTGGGCCGCTGCAGGGACTAAATGAGATAATGAAGGCAACATGTTCAGCGCAATGTCGGGGGCACCACACACAGGAAGAAATGGAGGCAGTTCCAATTTTGTTAGAAATGCAGACAGTCTAGGACACCTGGGTGGCTCAGTCGGTTAAGTGGACTCTTGATTTCAGCTCAGGTCATGATCTCACAGTTTGTGAGACTAAGCCCCTTGTTGGGCTTTGTGCTGACAGCACAGAGCCTGCTTGGGGTTCTCTCTGCCCCTCCCCTGCTCTCACATGCATGCATGCTCTTTCAGTAACTAAATAAACGATAAAGAAATGCAGACAGTCTGGGCTGTTCTCTAATGACTAAGTACCCACATGGAGCTGCTCCCTAAACTGGGAAACAGCAGTAGATAGCCAACCTTGCCCTAGTTCCCCAAGTACTGTACTGCTGCTACAGCTCCCTCTTCTGAGCCTATCGCTTCCTGCTTAGAAAGAATTGGTTTGGACTGGAAAGACACAATCTAACAAGACAAGACAAACACCAGCTGTTGCTTATAAAAGCCAATTACTTAGATTTATAGCAGACATGGGCTGAGTTACAGGTGAGAAAAGACCTGGCTTTGGGTTAATCATAATAAGCTCACCCTATGACAACTGCAGATTCACTGTGAATTAAAAGTGATCACAGGCTAGATCAAAAGAAATAATGGCAAGAAATAGGATGAGAGCAGGCCCTCTCTCAGCCCCTGATTGGTTAGTCCATGCTGTGGTGAACTGTCTCATTTGGTGCTCTGCTCTTTAATGCAATTACAAACAAAACTCAGTAGGCCTGGAGATCATTCCTGTGAGGTATAGTGTGAGAACAGGAGAGGTTTCTCTAGGAGAAAACATTAGGAAGGGGGTTGGGGGGAAGGGGCAGAGGTGATCAGCCTCTACAGAGCTGAAGGACTGACATATGGAAAAGTGCAAAGACAAATTATACTCCATAGGGGCAAACTAGCACCAAGTGTAGAGTTTCAGGGGGATTTCAGTTCAATATAAAGGAGACTCTCCTAATGTCTATCCAGAATTGGAATGTGATACATTTTACTTCATGAGCTCCCATCCCTGGAGGCTTTCAAGAAAAGACTATGAGGATTCAGGCCTCTAACTTAACACAAGACCAGATTTATCGCATCAGAATTTCTATTTTGATGCATCCAGGCAGGAATTACTGGGCTAGACAATACTAGGAATTTTACAACCTTAAGAATCACTACTACAGACAAATATATGGAGTTGAACTGTCAACTGTCAAGGCTAGTCGGTGAGAAAACCACAAACTTGTTTCTCTTCTGAAATATCCTAATAACAAAGTTTTAACAATAACTGAAGAGGAAAATGAATTTGCAACCAGTGTAATTCAATGAGCTAGCTCTCCTGAAAAACCTGGGCTCTCGCTGGGTTGTTGCCACTCTTCTGATTTGCTTGGAGTTAGTATGGAGAGGCTGCTTCAGTACCTTCGGCATACTGAACTGTAAGCACTGTTGTCCACTCTCTCTTGCCCAGCTCAGAACCTCTACCTACAGTGACCATCTTGCTGTTCCACGGACTACAAAGGCTCAGATGCCACGCACTGTGTTGAACATGGGGATGATGATACAGCCCTCAAGACGCTTGCTGGGACAGATGAACAGACAATCACAGCACGGGGCTTCAGGCGGATATTCTGTCAGTCAGTTCCCAAATATTTAACCAGCCCTGGGCCCCTCCAGTTGCCCACAGCCTCACAATGGAGACAACTGCAGAAACTATAAAGTGCTGTGGGAAAGGTTAAATTGTCAGGACGTTTTGGGCATACTCAGGAGCACTAATTCAGTCTCAGGATAGGGTGAGGGGAGGTTTCCTACAGGAAGTGAAATCTCGCTGAAATTTCAAAGACGAGCAGAAGATGGCCAAAAGGGCGGGGAGGGGGTTATGTTCCAAGCAGAGGCAATGGCAAATAGCATGGCATCCCTGAGGATGTGCAAGCTGTTAAGATAGGTGAGGCTGAAAATATCAGTTGGGTCAGCCCCCTCAGGGACTCAGCTGTCACATTAAGGGATATGGACTTCTTTGCAAGGTAGTGAAAAACCATTTTAGAATTTTAAGCAGGGATATTTCAAGCAGGCTTGAAACAGGGAAAAAAAATCACTGGCTACAGTGAGGAGGAAGAATGGACTGGAGTGAATGAGTGAAGTCTAGAGTCAGGAGGGCCAGTCAGGAGTGAGGAAATAGATTCCACCTCTTGAAAGGAGAAGCTGCAAGGTTACCCTGCAAAGGTGTGGGTGCTAGGAGAGAACAGACATCTCCAGCAATAACCCACTATGTGTCAGGCCCTTTACTGGCTAAAACAGAAGTCAAAGCTAGGAGCAGCAGGAGAATGGAGAAAGGGACGACCCGCCACACCCTAACCTCCCTCACTTTCTCCACCCGCCACTGTCTCGTGCCCCCCTCCTCAAATTCTAGCCATTCTTTGTCATCATGTTACATGAGGATAACTGGAGAGGTGTCGCTAGATTCGGAAAGCATGTTTGATGTGGTCTAACTGAAAACATAAGCTAGTAGGAACGACAATGCGATACCATTTCACACTCACCGCAATGACCACATGCAAAATAGACAGATGGATGATAAGTGGTGGTGAGGATGTGGAGACATTGGAACCTTCATACTCTGCTGGTGGAAATGTAAAATGTGTCCAGTGGAAGACACCCTAGCAGTTCCCTAAATGACCAAACAGAGCTATTACATGACTCAGCAATTCCACTCCTACATCTATACCCAAGAGAAATGAAAACATGTCCACACAAAAACTTACACACAAATGTTCACAGAATTATTCTTAACAGCCGAAAAGTAGAACAACCCAAATAGCCATCAACTGGTGAATGAATAAAATGTGGTATATCCATATGCTGAAACAGTATTCAGCAATACAAAGAAAATAAGCATTGATACATACTAGAACATGGGTAAACCATGAAAACATTATGCTAAGTGAAAGAAGCCAATCACAAAAAGCCATACATACATCGTATAATTCCATGTATACGAAATGTCCAGAATACGAAAATTTAGAGAGACAAAGAGTATATTAGTGTTTGTCTAGGGTTTGTGGGTGGGGAGGGAGGAGTTGAGGGAAAAGGAGAGTGACTGATAACAGGTACAGCATTTATTGGGGGGATGAAAATATTCTAAAATTCATTGTAGTGATGGTTGTGCAACTGTGGATATGCTAAAATGGCTGAATGATACATTTTAAATAAGTGGAATATATAATGTGTGAAGTATGTCTCAATAAAGCTATAAAAAAAACATAAACTACATGATATCCACAAAACTCACTCAGGAGGTCCAGGGGGAATCTCAAAGAAAAGCAAATAATCTCCAGAGAGGCTGGTATGGCTGTGAATCTGGAGATGAGCCACACTCATTCCAGAGTCATGAACAGAGAAAGCCACCTGGACAAAACTTGTTGACTTCCCAAAGCCTACTCCTCACACAGGAAATTCCACATGGGAGCGGCTTTAGGGTCAGGAAGAGCAGGGATTAATTTAACAAAGTTCATCATTCTCCTGAGTTTGGAGGTCAATTAGTTTCAGATGTTGAATGAAACAATTCAAGCATGAACCCAAGACCAGAAAGAAGGGTCGGGTAAGTTGTAAATAGGAATGCCGAACACTGTACTACCCAAGGGTCCATTCACCCTGAACATATGCATGAAACAGGCATCTCAGCCCTGCAAGTTCCAATCAAAGCTTCGGTCTTAAGAGCTTATGCTGTGGGGAACTCGCTATGCAAGTGACTGGAACCAACTCGCTTTGATAAGGAATGGAACAGCAGAGACCTCACAGCAGCAAGAGAACACAGATTTAGCTTCAACTATATGCCAGATGCTCTACCTCTATCATTACATCCAGTCCTCATTACATCCCCGTGCTATAGGAACTGTCCTCATTCTACGAAAAGAAACTCACACAGCAGACAGAATAACTCGCCTTTGGTCACATAGTGAGGACATGGTAGAACCAGGATACCAGGAGTTCCGGTATTTGGAAGGGGGCGGGGGGGCGGTGTCACTATTTGTTTATGACAAATAGTACACATCCAGGATCCTCTCCAGTTAGAAGTTCTTTGAGACGAGGCCCTCGTTCTTGGTTAGTCGGAGAAATGGAGTCGTCTGACTCACCCACCCTGCAAATGGCCCCACAGATAGCATAGGTTTTAAACTTGCTTTTGAACTTGCCTGCCATCCTGTCAACCATTTCCGCTGTCCGTACAGGTGCACGAACCCACCGGCGTAGTTCCGCGGCGAAAGCAAACAGTGGCCGCCACCACGCAGAGGAAGCGCCAGAGCAGAGGGAGGGCGGGGCGGGGCCTCGGCAAGTGCTTCCGGGTTGGCACGGGTACGGAGAGACTCTAGTTCAGGTTTTCTTGATAGTTCCCAGGTGAGAGCAACATCATGTTCACGTGCGCTGGCAGCCTTCAGATGGCCCTCTCTAATCAAACCACGGAATACAGGGGACCTGGTACCTGTTGGGTCATCACTAAATGATTACTGAGTGAAGGGTGGAATCGACTAAGAAGGGGTGCAGGCATGTTTATGTGAACTGTAAGAAGAATTAAGTGAGATGATGCTTTGGAAGTGCTTGGTGACTGGCCAGTCCCGGAATTCAAATCCCAGCTGTCCACTGAGTCACTGGGGGATCCACTGGGAATGCAGCTGAAATTAAACACAAACAAAAACCCTTCTTTTTCAAAACACAAGATAGAACAGAACACCCTTCATATTACAGTGGTGTTATAACAATAGATTAACATAAAATTATGTGTTCACTCAAAACCAGAGATTTCAAGTGCAAAATGTACTGAGTGATCATGTGTACATTAGGCCACAGATAGCACGCTAGATTCAACTGGTTAAAATAAATACACCACCAATTATAAATCTTGATTTGGCTGGAATAGTCAAATAGCACTCCCCAAATCCATTGGAATATCCTTCACTGCTGCAGGACTATCAGAATGAAGCATCAGCAGAACACTTACTAGAAAAATGAAGAGGACTTTTAAAGAGAAGATGCCTTTAAATCTTCCAGTGGCGCCTGGGTGGCTCAGTCGGTTGAGCTTCCTTCCAACTTTGGCTCAGGTCACAATCTCACAGTTCATGGGTTCGAGCCCTGCATCAGGCTCTGTGCTGACAGTCTGGAACCTGCTTCAGATTCTGTGTCTCCCTCTCTCTCTGCCCCTTCCCTGCTTGCACTCTGTCTCTCAACAATAAATAAATGTTTAAAAAAAAAAAATCAAAGAGAAGATGTCCCCAGGAGAGAGAGACAAGTTCATAGGGAGGATGAAACAGTGCTTCCCACCTCACCTGAAGAGCCAGGAGCCATGGGAACTTACTGTTACCTGAACTTAATGTTCTTTGTGGGGAGTAGGAAATTAGGTTAAACAACAACTGAAAGATACCATCTCCAAGCAACAATTAAATTTTATTTCTGCTTCAACAATAAATACACCTGAGAGTTATTTTTCCAAATCCCACCTTCTGATCAAATGTCCTTAAAATTGAAATCTCACATTACCCTTAATTGTGATCTAGTCCCACTTGGAAATTATATGTTTAGCTTTAAAACCATGACCTTAAAGCTCAAGTCTTACAGCACTGGCTGCTTAGGCACCTCATGATTAGTTTCATTCTTACACTAGCACCTACTGGCTATTAGGCTCCAATTTTCATGTCCATGAAGTGATGGAAGTTTTTCACCCACTCAGAAGCTAAGTTTTGATGCATTTGCCTTCTATGGCATCAAATATGTCTTCTAAGGCCTTCTCTACACACTGGAGAAACTCCCGGGCATTGCGGCCTGGGTAGGAGGAGACGTTGCAGCCTATCCAGTTGTCATGAACAGCATACCCAATGCCAAAGCCATCAGGGACCACAGGGGCAAAGCCACCAATGTTCACTGCTGGGCTGTTCAGAGTGCTCGTGGACAGGATGTTGTGGTTTATCTGCCCATATGCAGGGTCCAGGTATAGCTCAGGCAGAACAATCCCCTTGGTTGCTGCCAGGTAACGCAGAGCAAATAAGTGTCGGTCAAAGCCCTGGCCTGTCAAAGACAAAATAGGAAACTAGAGTCTCAGAATCCCAGAATTAAGAGACCTTAGTAAAACCTCCCACCCATAGTAGGAGTCCCCTTAACGGCATCTTTGAGAGTGGAAGAAGGGTCTATCTGCCTCCACATGTGCACCTCCAACTCACTAACCTCTGCAGCAGGGCCTAAAATTAAAGTATGATTTTTAAAATTCTGAAACTGAGTTAGTTTAGCCAAGCAGTCAAGAAAAGTGCATGAAGAGAGCTATGAATTCAAAAACCAAAACAAAACCCAAAGTCCAAGTCAAGTGTAAAAGACAAGATTGAGTCACTGGAATAAAATATGAAGGGTATTTGACCAGAGTTCTAATCTCAGCTTTACTGCTAATTTGTTGTGCAATGCTGAGCCAGTGGCCTCAGTTTCCTACCCCTAAAATGGAGAAGGATGAGACCAGAATGTCTTGGGAGATCCCTTTTACTTCCAGGACTTTTGGCTGCATGAAAAGGACAGGACTATATGGTCCTCCAAATTCTTTCCGGGTCTCCAATTTTACCACAAAGAGGCAAAGGAAGGAGGACACTTAGATTTGGGAAGACCTTCGGAGAAGGCCTATTGATAGGGAGCCAACACACAAGTGAGGTGAAGCAAGAGAGGCCGCAGACTCAGAAATCCTGAAGTGTCAGAAGTTAGATGGCCAATAAATAATAATAAATAATAGAAAGACAATCAGCTGAAAGTGACCCTAAGTGAGGATGAAGTTAGATACATTTCTCCATCCCTGCTTAGGAGGAAAAGAACATTCTGATCCCTAGTGCTAGTCTGACTGTTTAGACTGCTAGGGTAGAAAATAATAATCATCTGGGAGTTGGCAGATGGATTAAACCGGGAAAGTGGTGGAAATCAGACTTGGAGTAGAAGAATATTACTGAGGCTTACCCCAGAGCTGAGGGCAACACGACCCAAGGGCATGCTCCCCAACCCCATCTCACCCATTGCTGCTTCTTTGGTCAGCTGGCCGTGGTACGTGGAGCACTTGGTCATCATCTGCTGAAGCTCTCCAGCACTGTGCTTGGAGGGCTCCCTGACGAAGGCCTGGGAACACCTCTTGGTGAAGATGGAGGCCGGGCGGATGGTCTCAGTGCGGCCGTGCTTGAATGCTGCAGTGCTACAGGACTCGTAGGTGGCCACCGTCTGCCCATACTGCCGCAAGAAGGCCATCTGGAAGGCCAGCTGAGCCACCGAGTCAGGGCTCAGCTTCTGCTTCTTCAAGAACTCTTTGCCTCCTCTCTGAAACTGGATGAGGTCGACAGTGAGGGTTTTCACGGTGGCATCGAACTTTTCCTTAGCGGTGCTGATGCCAGTCTTTAAGGCATCGTTCAGCTTGAAGTTAAGCTTCTGCACGGCGACAGAAGAGTCCGTGCGGGCTGGCTGGCTCTGTGGGGTGACAGCAGGGGCCTGAGTGCTGTCTTTGAACACTTCGTTAAGAAACCTGAGCACCGCCACCCCATCGCCCCAAGCATGCTCAAAGTGGATAGCAGCAGTGCCGTCCTTGGCTATAATGAGGTTAAAGGACTTATCAAACCAGCGGTTTGTGCCGTCACCATGCAGCATGTTGTGAGACAAGTGGACGAGGTCCTTAATGGGGAAGTCATCTAGGCAGAGACAGAACACAGCAGAGTCCACTTTCCTCAGGGCCTCCTCATTGCCACCACTCGCCAGCTTCTGCCTGAGCTCTGCCCAGACGTCTCGGTTCTCGGTAGTCAGATACGCCAGGGGAAACTCGGGGGCAGGGCTACTGTCTGAGAGAATGTACTTCAGATGAGCCTGGATTTCAGAGGCACCCACAATGTTTCCGTCTTGATCTAGGACATCAAAAACATAGAAATGTCCTTTTCTTAGGACCAGGAGGTGCCTAGCCTTCTCATTAGTAAAGAGTTCATCCCGAATGGGTTTGGGTAAACGGGTTGAATTGAAAAGCCGAAAATATTGGGACATATCCAGGGGATAAGCATTGACCAAGTAGGCCCCATACCAGGACAGAGAAGAAGGCACAAAGCGTATGAGTCTCTTGAAGGTATCAGTGTCACTTTTCGCAGGGTTCAAGTGGAAAACCTCTGGCTCCAAAAGACCAGCCCGAAGTGTCTTCAGAAACCGGATGGCAGAAACAGTCATGTTGGTTGCCCTGGTGAGCTGGTCATTATACTCAGACTTTGGGTCAGGGTTGAATGCCATAAATGGATTAAAATTCAAGACAATGGAGTCTCGAGCAGACAGGTACATATCAAACCAGGGGCCTAAAAAATAAAAGTAAAAAAGAAAAACATAAAAAGTTAATGTAGTCCCTAAAGATAAAATTTGAGAGAGAAAAACAAGCATATGCAGAGAAAAATGACATCAGCCTCCAGAGGGTGAAATTCCCTAATTATTTTTCTGATCTGCAATAATTCACGACCTGTACACCATCTTTTGCATGTGGCTTCTATCACTTACTATGTTTCTGAGTTTCAGCCATGTTGTAGCGTGTATTAGTTCTTCATTCTTTTTATTGCTGAGTAATGTTCCATTATACCACATTTTGTTTGTCCATTCATTGGTTGACTGACCTTTGATTGCTTCCGCTTTTTAGTTATTATGAGCAATGCTGGTGTGTACAAGTTTTTGTGTGGATGGATATTCTCAATTCTCCTAGGGCAACAGCTAGGAATGAAATTGTGAGGTCACGTAGTTAAGTCTGTGTTTAATCTTTTGAGGAACTGCCAGGTTGTCTTCCAAAGTGGCTGCACCATTTTCACCATGCATGAGGGTTCCAATTTCTCCATGTCCTGGGCAACATTAATTATTGTCTGTCATTTTGACTACAGCCATTCTGGTGGGTATATCATTGTGGTTTTGATTTGCATTTCCCTAGGTTTATTGCTTTTTCTTTCTCATTCTATTTCCTTTCTTGACTCTCAAAGAAATACAGTAACATCTCACCTGTATTCACGCTCAAATGGAACAGGTGTTAGTTCCCACCCATTTCCTTGGATTTCTCTTGTTTTATCTCCTTTCAGGGACAACATTCACACTTGGCTGTCAACCTAACGTGGGGGAAAGTATTCACCATCAGTCTGGGTACGCTGTACATTTGTGTACTCCCTCTTTTAAGAAATGCTCAAAAAGCAATTAGAAATAATAGCCAGTGTGTGTGGATCATCCAAACTAGCCTTCTACATTCCTGTGGATATTTCACCTGTAAAAATTCCAGAAGCAATATTTTATCAGAAAATGTGTCTATCACGGGCGCCTGGGTGGCTCAGTCGGTTAAGCGTCCATCTCTCGAAATCGGCTCAGGTCATGATCTCACGGTGAGTTTGAGCCCTATGTTGCACTCTGCATTGACAATAAGGAACCTTCTTGGGATTCTCTCTCTCTCAAAATAAATAAATAAATAAATAAATAAATAAATAAATAAATAAATAAACAAACAAACAAACAAACAAACATTAAAAAAAAAAAGCCAACCTTAAGCCAGTGGCAGAGAAAGCCAAGAGATAACATGATTTACACAGCAGAACCCCCAGAATGCGTACTATTTGGCAGACTTAAGTTTTCTTCTCTGGAGAAAGTAAAACTAGGGACAGAAGTCATAGGTGAGATCTCAAGCCTTCTTCCCTTACTCTACTCCTACAACAGTAGCAACCGGGGAACATACCATTTGGCAGTTTAATGGAAAAGCCTTTCTTGGGAGTCTAACCCAGAGACATTAGTACAAGGGCACCCCAAGGAAATGGTTTAGCCGGGTCATATTACAGTGAAGTTCTGACGGACCAGCCCCACCCTCATCCACAGAGCTTTTCAATATCTCACTCAAATCTAAGACAACAGAGAAGGATTATGAGGGATCTGAAGAAAGAAAAGCGGGCAAAACAAATAGAGAAAAAAGCAACTTGGAGACAGACTACGAAGGAAGATGAGAAAAAAACTTCCCCAATAAATTATTAAGCATATAGAAAACGAAACAAAATAAAGTAGAAGACCATTATTAACTTAAGAGGAAAAAAGTTCACACAGGAACAGGAAAAACAATCTCAGTATGCTCCATGACTCAGTTGACAATAGGGTATATGTGGTCCTTAGTATAAACACTACGTATCGAGCAAACCAAAATGACAAACAACCACACTGCAATAATCAGGGAATGGGACGTGTGCATGTACACTCATATGTGTGGTGGGGACATGAGCGACTGCTCGGTTCTGGTCTTCCACAGTGAGACGTCAGCAGATAATGCCTACAACTGAAAAAGTTAAGAAGCAGTGATAACGGGCATGTGATGTGCAGAATGGGGGTAGACAGCAGAAGAATGAGCAGCTGGAAGTAAGAAGCTGGAAACTAGGGGAGGGTCAGGAAATTGCCATTTTTCCAAACAAGACTGGTAGAACCATTTGATTCTGTAAACTATGTGCATGTATAACCTTATGAAAATATAAACTAAGTTAAAAGAAGTTCTGTGAGAACAGAGGCAGAAAAAACAAACTCTGAAAGGAGAGGGAGGAGAACTGAAAGGTTTCCTGGAAAAATCATCCCACCTGGATGTTTTTTGTCTTTTCTCTTTAAAATTGAGATATAAATGATATAACACACTGTGTTACTTTCAGGTGTACAACCCAACGATTCGGTATTTGTATATGTCACACAACAATCCCCACAGTAAGTCTAATTAACACCCATCACCACACACTGTTATAAAAGCTTCTTGTCTTGTGATGACACTTCTCAAGATCTGCACTCTTATCACCTTCCAAATATACAATAGTATTAACTATAGTCACGATGCTGTACATTATATCCCATGACGTATTTCTTTTATAACTGGAAGTCTGCACCTTTTGACCCCCTTTGACCATTTTGCCTGTCCCCCCGCCACCACCCCCCGCCATCAATGGCAACCACATACTTGGGTCTTAAAGAAAGAATTTGACAGGTTAAAAAATGGTAGTGGGAACAACATGGATAAAGACACAGAAGAATGAAAGACTAAATAAACAGTGAGTTGTTGAGTTTTGTTGAGGTATAAGACTATCATGGAGAAGAGTAAGGGATGAGGCTGGAGAAGGCAGTTAGGCCAGAGTGTGAAGCGTCTAGGATGATATATGCAGGACACAGGACTTAATCCTGCATCCTTTTCAAACAGAACCAATGATCAGGCTCTGTCTCGGTCCTACCTACAGAGCAGGCAAGACATTGCTCCTCAGCACTGACTCCAGGTGAGATCTTAGTGGAGGAGGAATTCACTCGGCCTTCATGTTTACCTCAGAAAGAGAGGATGAGGGGCACTTGGGTGGCTCAGTTGGTTGAGCGTGTGACTTCGGCTCAGGTCATGATCTCACGGTCTGTGGGTTCGAGCCCCGCGTCGGGCTCTGTGCTGACAGCTCAGAGCCTGGAGCCTGCTTCCGATCCCTCTCTCTCTCTGCCCCTCCCCCACTCTCACTTTGTCTCACTCTGTCTCTCAAAAATAAATAAGTGTAAAAAAAAAAATTAAAAAAAAAAAAGAAAGAGAGGATGAGACATTACTCTGGTGGGCTGGTCTCACCAAAAATATTCTGAGACCAAAACAGGACAGACGATGCCTTACTTTCCACTGTGGAGGGCTCCAGGAATAGCGTGCCCACAGCCCAGCCCACCTACCTGAAATGTAGCTCGTATGTTTATTCTGCTTGTCCTGAGCAACTAGCTGCTCATGCAGTTCTTTTCCAATCCCATTTTCAAAGCTCTTGCAAAACTGTTCTGTCTTCCTGAAATGTTCAAGAAAAGATAGAATCAAACCATGGCAGGAAATACATGATTTCCAGACTCATGGCCAAGAACTCTTACACAGAGCTGTGGGGCCCCTGTAGCATATCCCTAGAACCTGGGACTGAAATCAGGAAGTCCCTCTGAGCAAGAAGAACAGCCACCAATCCCAAACAGATACATTTAGGATATCTTCTTAAAATAACTGATCGGGAAGATCAATCGACATCTCACACAACAATCTATAATCTAGGAGGCAGCTTGGTATGGAGAAAAGGACATAAGCTTTGGAGTCAAGGAGAGCTGAGTTTTAATTCGAGCTTTGTTACTGTCAAACTATGGGACCCTGGACATGTGACTTGATCTAAGTCTTGGTCTCTTAATGTGTAAAACAGAAATAATATACCACCTTACAAAATTAAAAAAAGTATTTTTAAAGCTAAGGATTCAGGATAGTTTTAAACCTAATACTTAGTAACTGGTAGCTATTAAATCATAACTATGTCAAGAGAAGCTTCAAGTGACTAATATGGAATATTTAAAAGCAGAGGACTAGATTATGAACAATTCATCTACATTTTCCATCACTGTTCAGTGAAGGACTCTGTGATTCTAATGACAGTGCCAGTTATCTGCACAAAACCTTCCATTATGGAAAAGTGGGATAGAAGAACTTAATGCAACCCACTTTTGACAATATCCAATATTATTTTCCACTTCCATGCTGAACTAGTTTCCTAGGACTGCCATCACAAAATGCCACAAACTGGATGGCTTAAAACAACAGAAATGTATTCTCTTATAGTTCTTTGAAGTACAAAGTCAAGGTGTTGACAGGGCCGTATTCTCTTTCTGCTCCACGCCTTTCTCTTCGTTTCTGGTGTTACCAGCTATTCTTGGCATTCTTTGGCTTATTGGTGCATTCCAATCTGCCTTCATCATCACATGGCTGTCTCTGTGTCTCTTCTCCTCTTCTTATAAGGATGCCAGTCATACGAAATTAAGGACCCACCCTACTCCAGTATGAACTCAACTAATTACACCTGCAACAGTCCTATTCCCAAATAAAGTCACATACTAAGATTCCCAGAAGGGAATGAATTGGGGTGGGGGGAAGGCAGCATCCTATCCAGCTCAGTACACATGCTCAACAAGCAAACTGCTGGTCTGCCATGTGCTCTCCTCAACGAACTCCCTACCAACAGCACATGCCCTCTGCCAATGACCATTACCAGCTAGCCTCCAGGTCCACCTGACAAGATACAGTATAAATTTGGCATTCTGCCTTATAAACCATTGCCTGTTGAGTCTGGTTAGACACAATGTCACTTCAGGGCTTGCTCAGCCCCTTCTGAGTGAAGATCTATTTCCTAAACTTGAAAATGTTAAGGACGAGGTCCCAGATTTCTGGAGACCCAACTGGATCACAGACACTTCATGAAACTACTACTTGCCAGCCTCTCTTGAACCACCCAACCATGGTCATTCAGGGTTCTCTGCATTTACCTGAACTGGCCATCATCCAAGAGAGGCTTCTGTGCACAGAGGTATCTCTTAATGGTGTCTTCAAGTTTAGGAATAGGCAGCCTGGAAAGAAACTAAGTATAAGTGTGACAATATGTGGAAGGGGTCAATTAGCTTCATAACCCAAACTAATAACTAATTACCAGGTAATTAATTTCCTTCCAAAAACAAAAACAAAAACAAAAACCAATAATGGGAATCCACAAACAAATCAGAATAAAAGGATTTACTACTGTAAGTATCAATAGTAACTTTTTTTTAAGGTAAAATAAGAACTTTCTAATGTCTTAATGGTGAATTTCATAGGCGAAATAAATATTCAAATAACAGATTCAAAATGGGGAAGTGGAAGCCGCCTGAAGCATTCCTGTTTCCTAGTCACAATTACAATACCTGTGTTAACCCTGTATTGGTACTGATTTTAATCCTACTCTTAACTGGAACAACTGCACTTTTCTTCCCCAAGATGAAAACAGAAAGTTCTATTTTTTAACTTTCCTTGTGCATTTTATGAGAGAAAATCATACAGAAATGAAGCACAGTCCTGTCCAAGGGCCAGCCAAATATGGGATTGACCGTCAAGCTATGCCCAGCCACCAAGAGTCCTTTGAGGAGAACCAGATCTTCCTGTGTGTGTACTTACTCATCATTCTCTACCAGTACAATCCCAATGATGGCTATGGTGATAAAGTTACTGGTCCACAGTGGAATGAAAACACATGGACAGCAGAGTGGGATGTACTTTCTTTCATGTCAGTAATTTTATTAAATGATACATCCTATAATACCAAAACTTAATCGTGGTTTGTGAAGTTACCTCTGTCAGCTCAAAATCAGCACTAATATATTCAAAATATCTAAATATAGCAGCCATTTTGGAAAACTGTGAAGTTATCCACAAAACAGTTTAAAACCCTACTATATGTAAGACATACTGTGATTCTTCAGTTTATTTTTTTTTTATTTATATACGAAATTTATTGCCAAATTGGTTTCCATACAACACCCAGTGCTCATCCCAAAAGGTGTCCTCCTCAATACCCACCACCCACCCTCTCCTCCCTCCCACCCCCCATCAACCCTCAGTTTGCTCTCAGTTCTCAACAGTCTCTTATGCTTTGGCTCTCTCCCACTCTAACCTCTTTTTTTTTTTTCCCCCTTCCCCTCCCCCATGGGTTCCCGCTAAGTTTCTCAGGATCCACATAAGAGTGAAACCATATGGTATCTGTCTTTCTCTGTATGGCTTATTTCACTCAGCATCACACTCTCCAGTTCCATCCACGTTGCTACAAAAGGCCATATTTCATTTTTTCTCATTGCCACGTAGTATTCCATAGTGTATATAAACCACAATTTCTTTATCCATTCATCAGTTGATGGACATTTAGGCTCTTTCCATCATTTGGCTATTGTTGAGAGTGCTGCTATGAACATTGGGGTACAAGTGCCCCTATGCATCAGTACTCCTGTGTCCCTTGGATAAATTCCTAGCAGTGCTATTGCTGGGTCATAGGGTAGGTCTATTTTTAATTTTCTGAGGAACCTCCACACTGCTTTCCAGAGCAACTGCACCAATTTGCATTCCCACCAACAGTGCAAGAGGGTTCCCGTTTCTCCACATCCTCTCCAGCATCTATAGTCTCCTGATTTGTTCATTTTGGCCACTCTGACTGGCGTGAGGTGATACCTGAGTGTGGTTTTGATTTGTATTTCCCTGATAAGGAGCGACGCTGAACATCTTTTCATGTGCCTGTTGGCCATCCGGATGTCTTCTTTAGAGAAGTGTCTATTCATGTTTTCTGCCCATTTCTTCACTGGGTTATTTGCTTTTCGGGTGTGGAGTTTGGTGAGCTCTTTATAGATTTTGGAGACTAGCCCTTTGTCCGATATGTCATTTGCAAATATCTTTTCCCATTCCGTTGGTTGCCTTTTAGTTTTGTTGGTTGTTTCCTTTGCTGTGCAGAAGCTTTTTATCTTCATAAGGTCCCAGTAATTCACTTTTGCTTTTAATTCCCTAGCCTTTGGGGATGTGTCGAGTAAGAGATTGCTACGGCTGAGGTCAGAGAGGTCTTTTCCTGCTTTCTCCTCTAAGGTTTTGATGGTTTCCTGTCTCACATTCAGGTCCTTTATCCATTTTGAGTTTATTTTTGTGAATGGTGTGAGAAAGTGGTCTAGTTTCAACCTTCTGCATGTTGCTGTCCAGTTCTCCCAGCACCATTTGTTAAAGAGACTGTTTTTTTTTCCATTGGATGTTCTTTCCTGCTTTGTCAAAGATGAGTTGGCCATACGTTTGTGGGTCTAGTCCTGGGGTTTCTATTCTATTCCATTGGTCTATGTGTCTGTTTTTGTGCCATCTTCAGTTTATTTTTCAATGCATGTTTACCAAAAACATGATGTCAAAATTAATCTGAATTATTTACAGCCAGTATGGACTTAGCTGCACTGAGTAACCACTCATAACACTTTAACGCCATCAATTATTGTCCTTATATTCGTGGACCTACACAGAAAATCCCAAATACTACCTCAGCTACCTCATAATTATCTACTCATAGTTATCTACCTAATTTTCTCGACTTTGTTTTAATACAATAGGGACATTAACAAAAGTTCTTTTTAATTTTTTTAAATGTTTATTTATTTTTGAGAGACAGAGAGAGACAGAGCGCGAGCAGGGGAGGGGCAGAGAGAGGGGGAGACACAGAATCCAAAGCAGGCTCTAGGCTACAAGCTGTCAGCACAGAGCCCAACGTGGGGCTCGAGCCCACAGACTGCGAGATCATGACCTGAGCTGAAGTCAGCACTTAACCAACTGAGCCACCCAGGCGCCCCCAAAAGTTCTTTTAAACAAAATTCTAAATTAGAGGCAACAGCAGTTTTAGAAAAATAGTCCTTATTAGGGGCGCCTGGGTGGCTCAGTCAGTTGCGCATTCTACTTCGGCTCGGGTCATGATCTCATGGTTTGTGAGTTCGAGTCCCGCATCAGGCTCCATGCTGTCACGCAGTTTCTTTCTCTCTCCCTCTACCCCTCCCTTGCACGCACACTTTCTCTAAATAAACAAACTAAAAAAAAAAAAAAAAAAAACCTGACTATTCTAAAACACCATTTGCTTTCAGATTTCTCTCCAAAGAAAGCCGCCCCTCAACTTCTAGGAAGGACCAGCACCCTCCTGACCCCCATCACCTGCATTAAACAAGTCTCTTTCCTCTCAAAGCCAAGTATACCACCTCCTCCCCATCCTCATCTGTTTGCTACTCTAAAGGGGGGGTGGGTTAGTAAACCAGCTCCCGGGTGGGAAGGGGTGAAGCCCTGATTTTTAGTATTTACCAATTTCTGTAACTCTCCCACCAGGCAAATTTCAAGCTACCAACACAATGCCACTGAATGTGGAGCTGGGAAGAACTGCAGAGTTGGCTCTCGCGGTTACAGTGATGCACAGAGAGGGAAGCTCGCCACCCATCAGGATCCTTCCTTGAAACTTCTGACCTCCACCAGCACATGGGCTGCCAGAGAACAGGCACTGATTACTCCTTCCCTTCCTCCCCCAGCCCTGATTCTTCTCCATCACATTTAGTGGGCTATGTACTGTGTCCTCTCCCCCATAAGACTGCAAACTGTGAGATCCTTAAGGACATCAAAGATGGAGTTAGAAATTCTTTCCTCCCGCCCTGCTGGTGTTTTTTCCATCATCTTCTGAGTCTCTTTTCCCTATGTCCTCTTTCTCTAAAAGTGCATGTTTTCTCAAGACTCGGTCCTCTGCCCTCCCCTGTCTACTCTGTCATTAAGCCTTTCTGCTCTGATACTTTCATTTCTGACACACAGGCTCCTCCAAGCAGGTACTGAGATGCAAAATGGAACGTATGCAAGGGAGCATGACCCTGCCGACTGCAGATTTATTCTGTCTAGGGACAGTGTGGTATGCTGGAAAAGCATAAGCATTGAAGCCAGACAAACCTGAGTTTAGTTATAAACAAGTCACTTTTCAGAAGATAGACCAGTGGCTACCAGGGATGGGAAGGGGGCAGGGAGTGACTGCTAATGAGTACGGGTGTTTTTTGCGGGGGACAGAAGGGAATGAAAATGAACTGAACAGTGGTGATGGTCGCACAACTCTTGTGATACACAAAAAATCTCTGTGTACACTTTTACAAAGTGAACAATATCTCAACAAAGCTGTTAAAAATTTTTTAAAACAAGTCCCTTTTCACCTCTGGTGATCAGTTTTGTCTTTAGTAAGATAACGGAAGTGAAAAAGGTGGTCTCTAAGGCCCCTCTACAATTCTGTGACTGTAACTTCAGGAGTCACATTGATTCTTCCCCTTACAAGCCAGCATAGCTGCAGTGGCTAATCTGGTTTCATCATTCACAGCTATGTGACTTTGGGCACACCACTCATTCTATACCTGATTTTCCTCATCTATAAAATGGGGATAATATTAGTACGTGCCTCCTAGGGGCACCTGCGTGGCTCAGTTAAGCATCTGACTTCGGCTCAGGTCATGATCTCACGGTGAGTTTGAGCCCTACATCGGGCTCTGTGCTGTCAGTGTAGAGCCTGCTTCGGACCCTCTGTCCCCCTCACTCTCTGCCCCTCCCCCACTCATGCACACTCTTGTGTCCATGCACACACCCGCTCTCTCAAAAATAAACATTAAAAAATTTTTTTTGATATTAATATGTACCTCCTAGGGTTCTATGCAGATTAAATGAGGCAATGCATGCCACTGACTTAGAATAGTGCCTGGCACCTAGTAAGCACTCAATTAAATACGAGGGTTTTTTTTAATCTACTCAGTCCTTAAGTCCTATAGATCCAAATTCTGCCATTAGACTGTTCACATCCCTAGGGAACTAGCTCATCACCTCTTCCTCAGTGCCCAGCACGTTTCACCATTTCTATTGTTTTGCCTGCCTTCCATGTATTCCCTCTTCTTCTGGTAACAGCACCCCTCCTACTCGAGTCCCTCTGGTTCAGGTGGAGCTGACTCGAACCCAAATCCATGGAGTGGGCTTACAGCTTACTGGTTCAGACCCAATGAGACTCAGGGTGAACCTATAAAAC